ACGTGGTGAGATAGCACCATTCAGTGAGAGTCACGCGTTTGCCATCGCTAGACACGCGTGGAATTGTTAAATTACAAGCAACAATGGCTACATTTTCATTTATGTAAATTACATGCGCCTAGCGTGCTCCACGTCTAGCGATGCGTGTCCTATCTCATCGCGCGCTTGCAATTTGACTATTTTCTATAAATTAATAACTCTTTAACTATTATGAAAATCGCAAATAGTACAGGACTTTTCGACTCAGTTTAGTCTGCTCTACCTGCATATGATCGTTTGGCCATTTTTTGGGACACTCTGTATATAAAATAAGCATATTACAATTTATTATTCTTTTTTCCTTTCTCTTTCAAAAAATTAAGTAAAAATAAATAAAATATGTTACAGCAAATACATCTGTATCTTATTTTATTGTTATGCATTCGATGCGATAATGACAATACAATATATTCATTGTTATCAAGAAATAAATTAGGAGATAATTTAGTAAAAAAGCTGCATCATATTTCATATTGAGAACACAATGTTATATTATTAAAATAAATAAAAAAATATTAAAATAAATAAAATTATAATTAATATAGCAAAGAAGTTAGAAAATTTATAATAACTGTTGCTTTAAATCTAAGGAGTAATGTATCATTTTTTCACATATTTATTAAACAAAATTATATATCTCGAAAAATTGTATTATATGCTTTATAAACTGTAATCTAATATCAAATGTAATTTTTAAAGCGTTTATATCATAAGAAAGCATTAGAAAAACTTATAACTGCATTAAAAATATAAATTTGAATATACCAGTGATGAAAGTGACGAAGAAGTATTAATGCGCTAGAGTAGCGTTTATCTCAAAATATTCCTCGTAGATGTTCTATGGGAAAGAAACATCTGTTGAATTTCTTTCGGCGTCGCGAATCGATTATTTAATCATCAACTGCGTATGCAACGCAGTGCTCAATGGTATAACATTAAATGATGAATATTTCAATTTAAATGTGGTACTTTGCATCGTTTTGTACAAAATTAGAAATTAAGTTAAATTAGAGAAGTTTACTTAAATTGTAGATCATTAATGTTGGCGCTAGAAAAGAGAACATAGAAAATATTCAATCGACCAACTAAATGTGAGAATGTAAGAATAAATGAATCTTCGTTCACTTTATCCTGGTTATAAGTATTTTAACATTAACAAAGGTATGATCGCAGACACGTATTTCAAGCTAAATCGATTTCTTCTGTTGACAGTTGGTTTATGGCCTTTCTATAAATCGAAATTTACTCGACTTCAGTTCATATGTATTTTTAGTATGTTGACAACCTGTATTATATTTCAGGTATGTTAACATTTTGTATTTAATTATTTTTATTATAGGGTACATATTAAATTTATTAAACCCAGGCTTACAAGTTTTACAATACAAATTTAGAGTCGATACTTTTTTAATTGAAATATCGATATACGTTGCACGCAATTTAATATAAATAATATTTTTCCTGAAATAGAAATATAAACGATTAAGATTTAGAGATTATGAAGAATTTTCTTCTATAATCATACAAATGTCCTTTAATCTAAATTTATACTTTATAAACTTGATATAAAACTTCATATAAAAATGTTTACAACGTTAATTTAGAAAAAAATTTCCATTTTTAATTTCTCTAGAACATTATTATTTATAGCTTACAACATTTTTAACTTCAAAGTATACTGCAGACCTCGTCATCAAGGTTTTTTCTTCTACATGCTATATCATTATTTTAGAAATAAAATATCTTTCATTTTGCATTAACAGTAATATCGTAAGTTTATTTACAATATATTTGTTTAAATAATAAAAAAACAAATATTTTTAAACAAAGTAGTATGCAAAATTGGATAAATTTTGTAATTCAAAATAAATTGTTATGAAACTTGACATAGACATAATATGAGATAAAATATAAAAGAAATCTAATCAAAATCGAAGGAAGATAGAAACGAGTAGATCTTGATTAAGAATCAAAAAATTTATCCAGCAGATTATGTAACGACAGTGCTCATATGCCATTCATACAATGTCTATGTCAAATTTCATGATAATTGGTTTTGTAATACAAAATATTTTTAATTCTGTATTCTCTTTTAATTACACATTTTTTTAATTTTACTTTTATAAAGATACACAAATGCTATAAAAATTTATTACAATGATAGGTGAAATACTTAATGGAATATACTCAACACATTTATAATACATTAAAAGATAATAACGAAATTGTTATCATAAAAAAATATGGAAGTAAAGCGAAACGTTGCACGATTATGCTTACAAGTAAGATAATATTTGATATGTGTTTATATTTACTTTATGTTCAAAATATAAGGAAAAAAACAAAAAAGAAATTTATGAAACATTATTTAATTGGACAATATTACATATTAAAGATATTTTTGCTTCATTCTTTCGTTTGATTTTAATACATTTAAAATTAAAATATAAAAAGTGGAATAATAATTTTGTAATATTAATACATAGTAACAACAAAACTTCTTTAACCAATAAGTACTTTAAAATAATTTAAAATGCAATTAAAAATGATAAACAAAAACTCAAGATAAAAACACTACATATGAAAAATTATTGCCTTACCTTTTTATTTAAAGAAATTTATAAATTATTATTTTAATTTTAACAATATATTAATAAAATTATAAAGATGTAATTATTAAAGAACATATACAATTATTTATTTATTGATCAATGATATTCAGTTTTTTGGATTGGCTTCGTAATTATTCATATTGGTGTTCAACTATGGCCAAATTTTTACAATATTGTGTCACCTGTAAACGAATCTCGTCATCATCATCTGCAAATTGTGACTGAGTACTTTATTGATCAAGAAAAATATTTTTATTTAATATTATTGCATACAAATATGTCTCTCTATATAGGATCATTTATATTATTAGCCACAGGCGCAATGCTTATTGCATACGCTCAATATGCTTGCGGAATGTTTAGAATTGCTAGGTAATGATATAATCACAAAAATAATAAACAATTTGTATTAAAGAAAAATAAATAGTTAAAAATAGTTTTTATCTATTCTGCTTTTTATCTAGAGAAATCTATAAATTTATAATTATATTATTTTATTAATATCACTTAGTTTTGAGATTATTATTTATAACTTTGTATGAATCAGAGAATGCATGATTAAACAGAGCATTTAAATTACAGTTATCGTATTGAAAACGCAATGAAAATTTATTTATCACAAGATGTACTGGAAAAACGATTTTTTATATATAAAAGCATAATTTGTGCTGTAGATATTCAACGAAAAGCCATAATGTTTGTATCTGTTTTATAATTTGTAATGTATATGATGGTTTAATAAAATACATGCACATTTATTAACTTTTCATAATTATATTTTTTTCATAATTATACTATGTGTCAAAGGTTTTCCAAATATTTAATATCCAAATTTGAGATAACATTCATCCTTTTAATAGTATTTGGGGTAATTAATTTAAGCTTCAATATTTTCCAAGTAAGTTTTGTTTGTTATTTATTTCACAATTTCCAATGTAAACAATATTCAATAAAAAATATATCCCAATAGCATTATTAAGATTGTTGGCAGATTGTTGGTTAAATCTCAATTAAGGTAAATGAATCGTTGGTTAATGATTTGCCAATATTGCTTGGGAAATTTCTTTAAAGCAGTAAAAAATAAACATTTTTTTGTTATTTAATGCTTTAAGTTGTGAATTTTTATCTATAGGGGAAGTCTATGCAAATGAATTTAGATTCCGATATTAGTTGCATATTTGAAAAACCAATTTTTGAATAATGTTAATTTCAAATAAAAATTTGAATTTCTTCTATGTGTATTAATTAGCTTTTCTTATATAGCCACGTAATTCTTTTTAATAGTAATTATAAATTAATTACAATATCAAAATTTGGGTATCAGACTTTTCAGATCACAACATCGGAATATAACATTGATGAATTTTTATTACCTTTTGTTATAACTGTTTGTTCGCTTACATATATGTTTTTGTCCAATTTGATGGGTCAAGAAGTTACAGATCATTATAATCACGTATTTCATGTGACGTAAGAAACATTTTGAATATTTTGTTATTTAAAATCTTTTTTTACAAATGGCTTTGATTAATTATATTATTATGATGATTAATTATATAATTTTATTGTGTAGATACAATATTCAGTGGTACCTAGCTCCTTTAAATATACAAAAGCTGATACTGATTCTAATTCAAAGAGGTAACAAAAATTTTGGTTTGAATGTAGGTGGTTTGTTTTTAGCATCTTTAGAATGTTTTGCTACGGTACGAAACTTCATACATCTGTATATAATAAGAATATTATAGTTTTTTATTTCTTTTTCTTTTTCTTTGTCTCTCAAAAGATCAATTGAAAATAAATATAATTTGTTACAGCTAGCAAATACATCTGTATCTTATTTCATTGTCATGCATTCAATGCGATAATGATAATAAAATATGCTCATTGATATCAACAGATCAAAAGATAATTTAATACAACACAAAGCTACATCATATTTTGTTTATAATACAATGTGATATATTAAAATAAATAAATTAACAGCAAAAAAATAAGAACATTTATAATAACTATTGCTTTAAATCTAAGGATCAATGTATGTAATTACCTCACATTTATGTCCCAAACAAAATTGTCGATATCAAAAAAATTTTATGTGTTATAAACTGTAATCTCATATCAAATATAATAAATATTTTAAAGCGTTTATGTTGTAAAAAAAATTTTAAGGAAATATATTACTATATTAATAAAAACGAATTTAAATACACCATCGATGAATAAAAAAATGTTAATGCGCTTGCGTAGCGTTTACCTTAGAATATTTCTTGGACATTATATGAGAAAGAAACATATGTTGAATTTCTTTCGGCGTTGAATCGATTATTTAATAGGCAACTATGTCTCGATGATATAATATTAAATTGCGAACATTCCGACCTAATAATACTCTGCACCGTTCTGTATAAAATTCGCACTTAAACTAAATTACAAAGTTTATTTAAATTGTAGAACAATAAAGTTATTAGATATTAGAAAGTGTAAGAAAAATATAGGAAATATTAGAGTCAATCAAATATGATAGAAGCATGATATATCTTCGTACATTTATTCTGCTCACAAATATTTTTGCGTTAGTAGAGAGATGATCTCACATACGTTTTTCAATCTAAATAGAATTCTTTTGTTGATAGTTGGTTTATGGCCTTACGAAAAATCGAAATTTTCTCAATTTCAGTTTATCTGTATCTCTAGCATTTTAACAACCTGTATTATATTTCAGGTATATTAATATGTTCCAATTGCTTGTCTTTATATATACAATTAAAAATTCACGGTAACGCATGCATGAAAATTAGAACTTTAGAAATTAGAATTTTAATGTAGGAATATAGAATTTTAATATTTTAATATATAAGAATTAGAATTTTAATATACGTCATTTCAGTTAAATTATTTATATATACAATTTTTTTATTAGAATTTAGAGTCAATATTTACGTAAAAGGAAAAAAATAAGTTGCGATTTGATTATGAACATTTTTCCAAAGACACAATTGATAATTTAATAAAAGATCTTATTCTATGATTATGTAAAAGTATTTATATTTTTTCATCTTTTTTATCTTTTTTATCTATACTTTATAGACTAAATAATTTCTGAAAAATTTCTATATCTAATTTCTTTAGGATGTTATTATTTATAGCTTACAACATTTATAACTTCAAAATGTACAGCAGATCTCATTATCAAACTCTTCTCTTTTGCAATCGGTATAATTAGTTTAGAAATAAAATATATGTCGTTTTGTATCAACAGTAAAACTGTAAGTTTATTATTTCCCTATTTATTTAAATATTTAATAATTACAATAATATTTAGAATAAATTTTCAAACTTATATATTTCTTTCAAATTTTACTAATTAATTAGAGAGATGGACAAGTGCTATAAATCTTTATTAAAATAACAGGTGAAAAGATTAATGGAATATCTTGATCATATCCATAATAGTTTAAAAGATAATAACGAAATTGTTATTATAGAAAGATATGCAAGTAAAGCAAAACGTTATACAATTATACTTATAAGTAAGATAATGTATTTGATTTTTATTTATATTTACCTTTATGTCTAATATAAAGTAAGAAAGAAAAGAAATCTAAAATAAAAAACTAAAAGCAGAGAACGTATTTATATCATTTTCTATTTTATATACTTAAAATATATTTATATACTTAGAAAATAAAAAATCCTTAATTGTATATTAAAAAATTTCTACAATTTATGTAATTATTTATTTATAATATTATTTGCTTTATAATATTATTTAGTGCTTTGGGCTAGTTTAGGATTTTTCCATATTAGCATTCAAATATGGTCGAATTTTTACAATGCTGTTTCTGTGAATGGATCTCATCGACATCATTTACAAATTCTAACAGAGTATTTTATTGATCAACAAAGATATTTTTATTTATTGTTATTGCATATTAATTCAGCGTTCTACATAGGAATATTTGCATTAGTAGCAACAGGAACAATGCTGATTTCCTATCTTCAATATGCCTGTGGAATGTTTAGAATTGCTAGGTAAAAGCATAATAACGAATATAATAAAGAATTTATATCAAGAAAAATTATTAATATTTTTCTAAAATCTAAAACAATATCTTTCATTTTATTTAATTATTATTTTATTAAATTATTATTTTATTTAATTATTCAACTTTGAGATTAACTTCTACTTCATTTTACGTTGTTAGATAAATACTTATAAAGCTAGAAAAAATATTTAAATTATTTACAGTTATCGTATTGAAAATGCAATGAAAATCCAGATATCACAAAATATTATACTACAAAACATAAGCTTGCCACATAAAAGAATAATTTGTGCTGTAGATATTCAACGAAAAGCCATGATGTTGGTATTTCGTAACATATAATTCATATAATAGCACACAGTAATACATTTTTCGATCATTTATTATTATATTACTTCTTAAAGGTTTTCTGAATATCTGATATCCCAATTTGAAATATCGTTCATGTTGTTAATAGTAGTTGGAGTACTTACTTTAAGCCTTAATATTTTCCGAGTAAGTTTTATTCGAGGTTTGCATAATGATATAAATTAATGTTAATGATATAAAATTAATTAATACTACAAATTCAATACTATAAATTCACATAATAATTATTTTTGTACGTGATTGTTTTTATATAATATATATTAGAAAGTATAACTTTTAAATATCCTTCTAACCCAAGTGGGAATAAATACAATAAATCAATATTGAATCCTCGCAAGATACTAATAGTGTACCGAAAAGTGCAAATTTTTATTTGTAAGAGAAGTTTTGTTAAATTCAGATTTTAATATTTACAGATTTAAATTCCAATTTACATTGATTGGAAATTTTTTCAGTTATGTGTACACTGAACATCGATTATATGTAACCAATGTTTTACAAATAATCAAATTACGTTTTTTAGAAATTTGATAATAACATTAAAATTTGCGTATTAGGTTTTTCAGATTATAACATCGAAATTTGTTAACTTTGAAGAACTTTCAATACCTTTTGTATCATCTATTAGTTGCCTCGTATATATGTTTTTATCCAATTACGTTGGTCAAGAAATTACGGATCATCATAATCATGTATTTAATACCACGTAAGAAACATTTTCAATATTTTGTTACTTGTAAGATTTTTTTTTTTCAAAATATTAATTTATTTTATTATGTGTAGTTACAAAATACAATGGTATCTAGCTCCTTTACAAATACAAAAACTAATACTATTTTTAATGCAAAGAAGCAATAAATCTTTTGGTTTGAATGTAGGTGGTTTATTTGTAGCATCTTTAGAATGTTTTGCTACGGTATGAAACTTTTTATGTATTACGATAATAAACTTATATCACATCTTTCTGTCTCTTTTTTTCTGTCAAAACAAAGACAAATAAATTTTTTTACAGTTGGCAAATACATCTATATCTTATTTTGTCGTTATATATTCAACACGATAATGTCTGAAAAACATGTCAGTTGATATCATAGTGGAATTATCATTAAAAAAGAATTGTAGTATATATTTTATGTGCAACATATATAATGTGATATATAAGCTTGCCATATAAAGAAATAATTTGCGCTGTAGATATTCAACGAAAAGCTATGATGTTCGTATTTCGTAACGTATAATTCATATAATAGAATGCAGAAATATATCCATATGTTTCAATTTTTTATTATTATATTATGTTTTATACTTAAGAAGATTTTCTAAGTGTCTAATATTTAAATTTGAGATATCATTTATGTTGTTAATAGCAATTGGAATACTTACTTTAAGCTTTAATATTTTTCGAGTAAGTTTTGTTCGTTGTTTATATGTTCATAAAATAATATTAACTAATATTGCAAATTTATAAACTATTTATTTATATTTTGTATCAGATTATATATTTTATGTAATATATATTATGAATGTATAATTACAAGTATTCTTTTAAACTTTATTATTAATGCTTTATGTTAAAAAAATCTATAAAATAATGTTGGATATAAATAGTTGAATAAAAATAACATTAATATTTAGAGATTTAAATTCCGAGTTATTGATTTAAATCTGTATGTAAATTTTTTCGATTTTATATATATATATATATATATATATATATATATATAATATATATATATATATATATATATATATATATTTATTCAATTATATGTATACTGAACATCGATTATATGTACACTACGTTTTGCAAATAATCAAATTAAGTTTTTAGAAATTTGCTATTAACGTTAAAATTTGCGTATTAGATTTTCAGATTATAACATCGAAATGGAACTTTGAAGAACTTTTAATACCCGTTGTCATTATCAATTAGTTGTCTTGTATATATGTTTTTGTCCAATTACATTGGTCAAGAAATTACGGATCATCATAATCATGTATTTAATACCACGTAAGAAACATTTTCAATATTTTGTTACTTGTAAGATTTTTTTTTTCAAAATATTAATTCATTTTATTATGTGTAGATACAAAATACAATGGTATCTAGCTCCTTTACAAATACAAAAACTAATACTATTTTTAATGCAAAGCAGCAACAAATCTTTTGATTTGAATGTAGATGGTTTATTTGTAACATCTTTAGAATGTTTTGCTACGGTATGAAACTTTTCATGTATTATGATAATGAATGTATATCACATATTTTTGTATCTATGTCTCTTTTTTTCTGTCAAAACAAAGACAAATATAATTTTTTACAGTTGGCAAATTCATTTATATCTTATTTTGTCGTTATGTATTCAACGCGATAATATCTACAAAACATGTCAATTGACATCATTAATGAAATTATCATTAAAAAGGTGTATTTTATGTATAAATATAATGTTATATATAAAATATCTTAAATAGATAACAAAGACAAAAAATTCCCATTATGATTATTATTTTAAATACGTAAAAAATGGTATAATATCATTTATAATATCATTTATATAATAATATATATTTATTATTATATATTTATAAAACCCAATATAAAAATTAAAATTATTAAAAAATTAAAGAGAGCAAATTATAACGATTTTGTCATATATAGTATTATACTTTTGCTTATTTTAAGCTGCCTAGCTATTGCCATTTGAAATAAACAATTCCTCACACGCCTATCAACGATGATTGCCGAGCGAGAGTATTTTACCGCGCGCTTGCATTTGCCGCTGAGCTAATACGATGATTTTTAATAATTAATATCTTGATTATTATTGCGAATATCACAAAATGATATGGGACTTTTATGTTTATCTCGGTCCCATCTTTTTTTTTGCGAGCGATGGCAGAAGTCTCGCGGAACATCTTGTATATACAAACAAATATTTTTATATTTTAAAAATATTTTTATATTTTAAAAATATTTGTTAGTTTTCGCTTTTTTTATTAAAAAATAAAAAAAATAAGAATAGAAAAATATATAAAACACATATAATGTATAAAACATTATATTTTTCACAATTAGTAATATTATAGGCTTTTTATTATAATCTTATATTAGATATAATAGTTTAAAATACTTTTATTGATAAAGAACTTAAAAGACACGCTCCTATTGAACTGCTTTTATCGGAAGAACAAAGTTGAAAATATCTCTAATAAATGAGAAAATGTTAATACGCTTGCGTAGCGTTCATTTTATCGACTTTTTGTGTAAGTGATGTTCTATGAGAAGAAAACATCTGTTGAATATCTTTCGGTGTTGAATCGATTATTTAAGTTAATATCGGCGACAGCGTCTCAACGATAATGTGTTAAATTGCTAGTGTTCCGATCTCATGAAAATATTTTGCATCATTTTGTGTTACAATTAGATTAAATTATGGAAATTAACTCAAATTTTGTAAAATATAATTTTGTTAGAAAAGAAAATATGAACTGGAAAAGGAGAATATGTAATAGTCCAGTGGTGGGGAAAAATATACTTTTGTCCTTTCATGCTTATTATATGCATTTTAGTATCAGCAAAGACATGAGCTGTATCGTAGAGAGATATTTCAATTTAAACAGAATTCTTTTATTGCTAGTAGGTTTATGGCCTTATCAAAAATCAAAACTTGCTCAATTTCAATTGATTTGCTTCTTTAGTATTCTTGTAACCTTTATTGTATTCCAGGTATGTCGAAATTTTGAATGTATTAAAATATGTATTATACAGAATGTACAGAATTATTTAATTTACTATAAATTTTTATTACAATTTTTAATATAATTATAATTACTAATTATGTTAGTAAGTAATTCCTTATTAAAAGCCTAGATTACGTTATAAATGATAGTAAGAATCTTTTAACATGTTAAAAAGGCTAAGTAATTTATTTTTTTTTAATTTTAATTAATGTAGATCTATTTTAATATATTTATAATTTATGGAATAAAAGTAGTAAAACTTATATACTTAAATATATTAATATATATTTAGATATAAAAATTTATTAATTATATTAACATACCAAAAAAATTGAATAATCAAAACAATTGCAAAAAAACATTAATTTTCAGCAAAAAAATTTGAACAAAATTTTAGTTTAAAATAATTAAAAAAAATTTTTATAATCTAATATAATCTATCTCAACTTTTTCGTTACAAAACTGATTGAAACATAGCTATATATATGTATACTTTTTCATAACATATACATATATAATTTTAAAATACTGTTTCATATTTTTTGTGCATTATATTTCACAGAAATATTTAATACTATTATACAAAGTGTTTAAAAAATTCCAGCAAGATAAATCTTGAAAACAAAACATTTTAAAGAAAAATAATTAAATAGAAAAGTTGCTGGATAATAAGTAATGTATTAAACGAATATGGATGTTTGATCACACTTTGGATTGAATTTTGAGAAATCAAAGATTACCTAGCAGGCTTCCTGGAGACATCCTTGAGTTTTTTTAAATAGATTCTCTATTTTTTACTACATGTTTTCATAATAGTTATCGAGATATTTTCAAAGATTATTCCTTTTTTATAAAAGAACTTCTTTAGTTAATTTTCCAAACGTTTAGAGCACCTGATCGCGTGAATTTGGTCGTCACTTTCAATATGCGCCTGTATAGAATGTAACCCAAATAACACATTTCCGTCCGCGAATTTAATATTTGCGAAAACGCGAGCTTAATCATTCCCCAGCGAGATGACTTAAAGTTGAATCATATACAAGAATATAGAGGCATCGTAAATCTTACTTAGCGCATTTATTCGCCTTTGTTTTTGAAACTTCCTGAGATCAACTAATTAATTTATAAAATGTATCAAATTTTGTAAAAATACCTAATCTTATTAAGCAAGAAATATCTTTATTGATGACGAAAAGATAGGATAAATAAAACAGATTTTTGAAAAATCATAATTCCAAAAATTCTTAATAGAAAAGTATCTTTAATCAATATTTCGAAAATGCCTCGACAACTATTATGAAAAAATGTAATAAAAAATAGGAGATTTTATCTAAAAAATTTTAATTGACCTTCATCTGATTCTCAAAATTAAATCTGAGGTCAAACTGTTATGCTTACCTAACGTATTACTTAGAAATGTTGAACTCATTTGTATTATCAATAAGATATGATATTTATCGTAAAAATTGTTCTTATGTGTTAGCTTATAAATAAAATAAACTTGTCTTAATTTGAATTTTTTTTATTAATTATAATAAACTAAACATAATTTTGCTCGCAAAAGATATATTTGTAAATTCTATGTCGCCTTGGTATGTCATTTTGCCTTTTCAAATTAAATTGATTGATATTCCAAATTGTATATATTATAAAGCATATTAGTATTTACACATAATATATATAATTATTATGTTTTAGTGTATTATTAATATATTAATAATACATTAAAATGTATTAATATATTATTTTTAATATATTATTATACAAATAAATATAATTATATCTATGTATAGTATATTGTGCTATTTTTTAATAATAATAATGGTTTTAAATAAATCTTTAAATAAATAATACACTGTTTTTAATGTAATTACAATTTATTCCCATATAATATTATAGTACATAAATCAAATAGGTAGAATATTATTTTGAGTTAAGCTCAATTTTCAAATTTGTATAGATGATTAAACAAAGTTTAAAATATTATTGCTTTGTTATTAAGGAAACATTTATTTTTAACTTCTGCAGAAAATTATTGATTACAGTTAACAACATTTATGACTTTAAAATGTACTATAAATAACATAATAAAGATCTTATCTGATACATTTAGTATCCTTATCCTTGTCATAAAATACAATTCGTTTTACATTAATAGTAACACAGTAAGTTGATCGTTTTTTATATTTACTCTAAGTGAATTAAAATATTGAATATGTTTACATAAAAATATTATATATTTATTAACTTTTTTAATTATTATTAAGAAATATAAAAATAACATAAGAACTTGTTAAAATAAATAGGTGAAATATTCAATGGAACAACTTCAGCGTATCCATGATGAGTTAAAAGATAGTAACGAAATTGCCATCATAGAAAAGTATGGAAATGATGCAAAACGTTATACGACTATACTTACAAGTAAATAGTTTTTACGTTTTATTCTATTTTACTTTTAAAACTAATTAATAAGTTCAAAAATTTTATAAGCAATATTTTAAATTAATATATATTAATATATATTATAATAATAATGTAATAATAATTTAATATATTATATAATTCTTGTTTAAACTTAAATGCTTCAAAAAATAAAGAAACAAAAATAGCATGTTAAAAGTAATTAATATTTCCAAATTGAAACATACTTGTTTCTTTTTTTTTTGTCTTCCAATATTAGTTTTAATTATAATTATGAGACAAAGAAATAAAATAATTTATATATTATTTTACAATACAATCTAATTATACATCATATATAAATATATATCGTATATATATAAATATATATTAAATATTTTTAATATTTAATTGTTTGTATGTATTTTCTAATTTTTCATTGCAACAGCAATAAATAAATGTTAAATATATATAAGTTTTATATTTACTCACTATTTAAATTACAAGAATTTAATAATTATTAAAGTCAATAATAATGTGAGAGATAATCTTTATAAAATGAAGATCAGATATATTTATCAATTATATTTAAGCTGAAAATAATCGTTTATTAAAAAATTTTACATATTAAATATTACTTAAACAATTATTTAAACATATATATATATATATATATATATATATATATACATAAATTTAAAAGCATAGGTCATGATTGTTAAAAAATTATAAGTAACATTGTTATTTGTTTATAATGTTGTTTAGGTTTTTTATCTGCAGTTTAAGTATAGCTGTTAGTGCTCAATTGTGGCCGGATTTAATGTATGTTATTTCATTTGCAAATAAATCTCGATATCATCTATATTTTTCAACAGAATATTTCATCGATCAAGAAAGATATTTTTATTTACTATTATTCCACACAAATGCAGCTGTATGCATAGGATTAATTGTCTTACTAGCGACAGGAACATTGCTCATAGCATATTTTCAGCATGCTTGTGGAATGTTTAAAATTGCTAGGTAAAATAATAAATATTAAAATAACCAAAAGATTAAAACTAAGAAACAAATTGAATTTTTTATATTTAAAAGTATCAAATCTAGAAATTTGCCATAAAAGTTGATTAAGAGGTATGCTATGTATATGTAAATTATTTTTTAAACCATTAAAATGATATACAATCTTTATATGTGTGTGCGTGCATGTGTGTGCATCCGTGTACGCGCGCGCACGTACGGTAATGTGCAATAAAACACAAATTAAGGACGGAATATTTAAAAATATTATCAAATTATGTAAGATTAGTTTTTATTTAGAAAATATTTTCGTTATTTTACTTATTAATTACAACTCTTAATTTTTTTATTTTATAACAAATGCATTAACTTTACTGGTTCATGTAAAAATAATAAATACAATAAATAGATGTACATTTTATCTCAAAATCAGTATTTAATTTCGAAATTGTTGTTATAATATTATTGCATGGAAGTTACAGATTAAAAATCATAGTAATCAAAAATTTTGAAATATAATACGTTATTAATACTTCTTTTTTCGTATAGATATCATATATTTAGCTATAATGAAATAAATCACATATTGATACATTTATGTTATTCAAGTAAAATATTGAGTTTTCATGAATACAAAGTAACATTATTCATTTGTAATCAATAATATTATTCACAATCAAGTTACTGATTGTTAATAAATTTATGTATCATTAACTTTTTTCTACTAACCTACAACTGTTATACATTCTGTTCTATAACGCATTCTATATAGTAACTAAAAATTATTTACAGTTATCGTATTGAGAACGCATTAGAAATTTATGTATCAAAAATCAATCTAAAAAATGAGTATTTGGTTTATAGAAGTCTTATTTATGCTGTACATATTCACCAAAAAGCTATGATGTTAGTATCTGTATCATTTAATATATGTGTTTTATACATAATATATATATTATGTATATATTGTGTACATGTAACATATACATACACACACGTGCGTGCATGCGCATGTGCACACATACATATATGTAATAATAATTTATCTCTTTAAAGGTTTTCCGAATATGTAATATCTAGATTTGAAATATCTTTTATGCTTTTAATCTTTTTTGGAGTAATAACTATGAGCCTCAAAATATATCAAGTAAGTCTTGTTTGTGTTAATTAAAGTTTTATAATTTTAAATTATATAACAAAATCTTTTGTACTATTTTATATTAATAACTCTGATAACATTTTCAGTTTAATAGTTTTAATCTTTTACAAAATTTTTAATTGACGTTTATTGAAGATTTTCAATTCAATTTTGCTGTTACTGACACATTTATTTGATTACCTTTTAAATTATCTAAATTTCATATATTTTACGTATATTTTACAAGTATTTTTTAATTATTTAAATATATAAATGTTAAATGTTGTATGAAAAAGTATTATAATAAACATTAGATTATATTGTCAGTTTTAATGCCAAACATTTAATAAAATATTTTTAATTAGATGGAATTATAAAAAATTATTTCACCTTAACATTTATTCAAACAAAAAATTGATATTAAATCAAAAATATAATATAATTATATTATATAATTATATTATATAATAATATTATAATATATATATAATATAATATTATATTATATATATTATATTATATTATATTATATTATATTATATTATATTATATTATATTATATTATATTATATAATCTAATATAACATAATAATATAACATGATATAATTATTTTAATATATTAGAATCTTTTTATTTGTAACTAATAGTATAAACATTTAACTATGCTTGAAAATTTTGTACCTAATTTTTTCTTAAATTACCTAATTTACATTATATTTTAGAAATTGATGTCAATTTTAAAATTCATGTATTAGATTTTTCAGATCATATCAACTACATATAATATTGAGGAACTTCTCCTAACATTTATAGGAACATTGTTTTGTCTATTATATATGTTCTTAGCTAATCTTGTCGGACAAAATATTACGGATCACTGTAATCTTGTATCTACTACGGCGTAAGAAATATTGTAGTTTATTATATCATCACTATTTCAAATTCTAGTTACTTAAAATTCTAATTAATTAAAATTAATAAAAGCAAATATACATATAAAATTACTTATATATTTTTCTTGAATCACTGTTATTATATGTTGTAGATATGAAGTTCGATGGTACATAACTCCTCCACAGATACAAAAAATGATCCTATTTCTTTTGCAAAGGGGCACTAAGACTTTCGGCTTGAATGTCGGTGGACTGTTTATAGCATCTTTAGAGTGTTTTGCTACGGTATAAAACATTTCATATGTTATAATATTATATTGAATGTACTATATATTTCTAAAACTATGAAAAAAAACGATTATCTTTTTTATCATAGCTAGCAAATGCGTCGTTATCTTATTTTACTGTCATGTATTCTATGCAATAATGACAATGAAGAAAAAGAAAATTATATACCAATTAATATTATGATTTAAAATTTATGAAGGATAATACATTTTAGTTATACGTTTAGTTTAAAATATGATTTAACAAATATATACGAATTAACATGCACAAAGTATTAATCATAATTTCTAATTACATCACCTTAAAGATAATAAATTAAAAAATAAAAATTATCTTGTACCAGTAAATAAGCATATATTTACTTCTTATGTTATAGATTTTAACAAATAAAACAATCAGTACTGTTTCGTTAAGAAGTGATGACACTATTAATATAATGTATTATAAACTGTAATATAATGTAATATAATATAAATATGTCTTTTTCATATATATATATATATATATATATATATATATATATATATATATATATATATATATATATATAATATAA